CCTCTCGGTCGGTATCATTAAGGTCTTCAACCAACAGAGGTGTGATTGCGCGTGTGAGTGGGTTGCGTGTGGTGTGTGGGAGAGTGTTGGCTTTGGACACTACCATCCAAAAGCCTGCCTGTGACGCCCAACCTCATGCCCGGCGCGACTTCTTGATCGGAGTGGGATGTGGGCCTGGAAGTGCAAAAAGGGGTGTTTCAAGGATTTTTGGAAAATTGGGGGTGGAGTCCCAGGTCATAACTGAGATCTCCTGTGGCAAGGTTCCAGGGGCATAGGTGCAATGAGGCTAAGAGACGGGTCACTTTCGGTCTGATGGCGGTTGATGTCGTGCAGTATAAGGCAGATGGCATGCGCGGTGCATCATGGGGCCGTCCGATCCGCCCGTTCCAGTGACGGCGGTTCGGGAGAGGTCCGTTCGCGAGGGTTGCAATTTCTATGGGTCGGACCTCCAGGTGTGGACACGTGGCGATTGGCGTCGCATGTTATGGTTAGGCTCCGTACTTCCAGAGGCTCGGCGGTTGCCACGCCGTCTGCAATTTCTGCACGGCGTGTGGGGCCAATACGGGGCTATGGAATTCCACGGTACCACCGTGAGTTGGTGGTATGGGAGAAGGAGATGGAATGGAGGGAAATTAATAGCGATGACGACGAAACCGGGGGATATGAAATATTGCGTGTTATAAGTTGTCGGGTAGTCGGGGCCCCTCGGGTCGCTGGTTATGGCGCGGTGAAAGTCCTTGGGACACAGTCGGTCGTTCTCGGTTAGAGAGGGGAATTCCGGATTTCTCAAATTCCCCCACAGCCTAAGTTGTTCTCCCTCCCAGTATTCTCCGTATTTTGGATCCCGCAACCTCTCCCGGTCCGCGATGCACGACATCTTGTCATTCCGGCGGATCGCGAGCTACAGCGTAGTGGTAACCTTGCATGCATCTGATCGTGCTTCGATTGTCAAGGGAATTTTCGGGTATGGTAAGGAAATTTCCTATCGGCTCAAACTCTCGCGAGAGGGAAAATTCTGCACTTATCCCAATACTGGGGGCGCCAAGTTCATCACTGATCGTGAATCGCACGCGTGTGGACACATGTAGGCCGTGTTGATCAGATCGCGCTTACACGTGTGCAGCCGAGGGGTCCGATCGTACACGGGCCTGTTGGCTGATTTTCGTGCAATAGTAAAGTTTCAGTCCTGCGTGCAAAATCGCCACGTGGCATAGATAATCACCCAATCATCTAATCATTCAGTGATCCCGCAAACAATCATTTCTGATCATGCAAAATGACATTGCACACATCAGACACCTCAACCTCATCAAGCTCTTATCGTGACAACAGCAGATCAAAGTGACAAGCAATGATGATGATTAGGCAAAAACAACAAGCATATCATTCCATCAGAACTTGTCCATCCAATATACACAAAAGAGGAAGGATCGAAACTGAGTAGGACACCATACAAGGGCCAACATCGAGACAAAGATGCCGAAGGAAAATAAAGGCGAATTGCCCGAGCCAATATCAAAACTTATATACAAAAGCAAAGGAGAAGACAAAGAAAACTACAACTCCACGTCCTTCAACCTCACCTCTCACTCTCTCTCTCTCTCTCTCCCAGATGCGGACAGTCCGTCGTCACGCACCAACCCACGAAGTTGTCACCCCGCTTAGTCCTCCTGTGCCCGTCAGGTTCGCCCACATGCTACAGTCCGTCGTAGCCCCACGAGTCAACCCCGCACATTCGGCACCGGCTCGTCGGGTCGCCCAACTCCCACTTCAACTCACCTCTTACTTCGCTCGTGAGCAGAGCCTCACTGATTGCGCTACCCGGAGCTTCCAACAAATGTTTAAGAGAGATATCTAATCGCGCAGCCGAAATTTATAGCGTGCATGCATGCGTGACGAACACGAAATTGCAAGGACTTAGAAGGGGGAGAAGGGGAGGGAGTGCCTACGTTCTGCATGGCCAGATCGTGGCGTGGGAGACGTAGCCACTCTCCACGCATCGATCCGATCATGCGGCCCGCGGGCCAACTAGACACAGGAAAGAAAAGAGAGACGGTGGGAAATACGAAGCTCAAGAAGAAAGATATAGTTACAAGGGCGCCCGCCCAAAATTACAGTTTCACGCAAGATTAAGGGCGCCGACTAATCAGAGCTTCGTTGCAGCCGCAAAAAGAAGCGCGCGAGCAAAAAACACCGCGAGGCAAAAGATATTTCGAATTCCTAAATTCCTATCCGATGCAACAGCACAAACCCCGAAAAGAAAGTCCGAAGTTCCGAGAGCCATCGAGGGCTCGACAAGATTCGAAAAAAGAAATCCAAAAAAAGAAAGAAGCAAAACTCCCGCGCGATCAGCGCGCCGAAAACCCGACAGCAGAACAGGAAAGAAATAACGTCAACCATTATTAACCGCACCTCCGTTGGCGCGCCAGCCACTCAATCGATCATCCCGAGACTTGCCCAGCCCTGGGCCCGACCATCCGAAAAGAAACGACGTAAAAAGAAGAACAAACAAGAACACCGATGCAATTTTCCCGTTGGATCCCATCTCCCATAATTGGCCCAATCTTCCCAGCTTAGGACCCCTTATTGTCGCCACGCAGAAAATTGCGCGGAACAGGAATTGGTTCATCACATATGTGACACCCAGGGGGTTCCAATCTTAAGCAAGCTCCCGCTTGCTTAGTCATCACGAGACATGTCGATCTCTCTAATTGATCGACACACGGAACTCTCTTTGTTGCCACTTACCGTTCGATAAGAGTGTGGACGTCATTCAAGGTGGCATACGTAGGCACTATCCTACACGTTCCTTAGGAAGGGCTCTCGTCTTTCGAAGGAGGAGATCGTTCGTGCCATCGTTGTGACACGCGCCATGCAACCGAGCATCAGTGACCAGCGGGAAGAGGGAAGGGAAGGCGGTACATGGGAGCATGGGGAGGAAGCGTTCCATCCTTGCTACCGTTACCGGAAGCTCCTGGTAGCGGATGATTCGATGGAAGAGAGGGAAATGGGTACCAATGTAGGGGAGAGACGCGAGATAGTCGGGTAGAGGGTTGCGAAGGTGCGAAAAAGGGCCGTCCGGAATCGATCATGGTTTTCGCATACGGGGATAGTCCCTGTGATTGTGTAATAGACCTCGATTATATTGTGGCCCCGCCTCGCGACACTAAAGAGAAGGACGTGGAGGCAAAAGACAGGGGTGGCGCACTAAGTAGCGGGGTGGGGGTGTACTGTGACAGCGAGGAGGGTATTGTAGAAGTGAAAGTGACGGAAGGTGTCGGTGGGGAAGGAGTTGTGGGGGAAGATCGGGGCGGTGATCTGGCGAAGGGTGAGGTAATCAAGGGGACGACGGAATAACAACCGTGGACGAAGCCCGATGCCCCGCATTGGTACGTGTACGAACTGGGGGACGGGTGGAGGGGGAGGGGGATCGGCTTCATCGTCTCCGTGCCAGTGCGCTCGAAGTCTCGGCAGCAGGGTCCCCATCGTCGATCCTGGGTGGCTCGGGGTCCTTGGTCGGATCGTATGGGATTGGTAGATCCGAGCCGCTCACGTACTCCAGCAGCTGCTTCCCGGCCGCGATTTCTTCTCTCCGTCGCGCTACCACCTCGGGATCTTCTTCCTGGACCTCTGCGCGGTCCGCCTCCTCACCCAGACTTTCCCACTCAAATCCTTCCTCTTTCTCCTCCTCATCTTCTTCTTCTTCTTCTTCTTCTCCGCTTGGCTCCTCCTCGTTGTGCTCGCTATAACTCCCTTCGTCCGGGGTTTCTTCCTCCTCGTCCTCTTCTTCTTCCTCCTCTACTGCTATCGCCTCGTCTTCAGACACTGCCCGGGGCTGGAAAAAAAGGATGTCGATGATTCCCCGGGGATTCAGGTACTCCAATCGCGACGGGTAGCTGCCACTTCCCCCTCTCTCCTCCAGACAGGCCGACAACTGTAGATACGGCGTCAAGCTTCGCGGAAGGACGTGCGGCACCGGGCTTTCGTCGCACTGTGATATGATGTCGAGGGGGAACTCGTCCATGAGCTGCACAAAGGGGACCGAGAGCTCCCACACAATCAACTGCCGATGGCCGGGTTCCACTGCTCCAAAAACGAACCCGAGGAGATCTCCTTCCACCTCCGTTCTCCAGGCCTGGATGATTAGTAGTTCCACGCTCTCTCTCGCGGCATGATGCTTACTGTCCCACGTCCACGTCAGCTCCACTTCCACCAGGCACAACAAAAGAGCGAGGTACTGCTCGCACCACGTCCACGTACCAGGCCCGATGAGAGGAGCGGCGAGTGACTGGAGACAGAAAGAACGACGGGGACGGAGAGCAGACTGGCAGAAGGTGGGGAAGAGAGAGGGGAGGGCAAAGGTCGAGATCTGGGACCGGTTCATTGAGGGTGCAGAAAAGGGACGAGCTCCGGGAGCGCTACCGCCGGCTCGTGTCGGGACGTGCGGAGCCTGTCGACGTCGACGCTGTTGGTGACGACGAGGTTGTCGTCGTGCCCTGCAAGCCACCGGCTCCACACCAGCGCTAACTGTTCACCCCACTCCCTTAGCGATGCCCGGATGGCCGTACGCCTTGTAGGATCCAGCGCGCTGATGTCCCCGCTGAAGACGACGATGGTAGACAAGTGGCTGGTCCCTGGCGCCAAAAGCCATCGATAAGCCGATGCCTTGACCAACACGAGTGTCTGGCTATGGGCCGCAAAACGAAACTCTGTCGCCGCATACACCCCAGTGGTGCTGAAGAACTGCGCAAATCGGAGAAGGTCCAGACTGATTCGTGGATGATGGACTTGAGTGATCGCCGAAATATCGCCACGTGGTGCCAGCATGTGCTCGCCAAGAACCTGCTCGGTGGAAAAACTCATAGAGATGGCGAAGGGGACGGAGTGTTTGCAGGGGAGCAAGACAGAGAAGGAGAGGGTGATAAGCAGGCGTGACAGACGTCGTCCTCTCCCATACCGAAGCAGGGGGCGGACGAAGGTGGAGATGGAGAGGAAGGGAGAGGCCGCAGATAGGACACGTGGCGAGTGATCGGGCAACCTGATTGGCTGCTAGAGACCTCGGGCATGAGCCGCACCGTGTTCACTCCGTTTGGACCGAGCTCGACTACGCGAAATCCCCCGAAGAATCGTGGCGCTAGCTTACCCTGGCGAGCACATTTCCTCACCTGCACGATGTCCCCTAACTTATACTGGGGCCGTGGTCCCGCATTCCCATTTTAGGCCTCGTAGCTACGGACCTGTCGGCCTTGGGTCAACTCAGTCATCCGATGGCGTTTTCGGGCTAATCGGGGAAGGGACCGCTCCATCAGCTCTAGGTGCCGCTTGGCCTTGTCTCGAACCGTGGCCCTCGTGGGCCGCCGGTGCAACGAAGATTCGTCTGGGAGGCTCGGTATTGAAACATAAGCCACACTATTGGTCCGTAATTGAAAGGGGCTCAGGCCCATCGATTCATGGGGCGTCCCTCGATGGACCGCCATGATGTGATCCACGATATCGGGCCAGGGTCTCGGATCCCATGCCACGATGTTTCGTCGCAATGCAGTCTTAATCACCCTATTTGCGTTCTCTACCAGCCCGTTAGATTGTGACATGTGGGGTGCAGTATTCCGAATGGCGACGCCATGTATGACCAGGTTCCTCAAAACTTCCCCTCTGAATTCCACCCCATTATCGGTCAGGATGTCCTCTGTGTCCTTATGAATTCCTAAAAAACGGTTGACGTATCGCACGATTTCAGCCGCCTGTTGCGTACGACACGGACAGGCCTCGATCCACTTCGAGAAGTGGTCTACGAATACCAGCAGGATTGAATACTCACAACTATTAGGTCTAGGGGGCACCACAATATCGGTAGTATCCATGCTATCCCTTTGAAAAGGCCGTTCAACTATTGTCGGCACAATCGATCTCAGCGGCTGAATCGGCGCCTTATCAGCAGCGCAGACTTGACAATTCTGGACGATGAATTTAACATCGTCGCGAATATTGGATCAATACCACTCACTATCCTACCTCAGTGTGACCAGCACTCAGGACCATTACCCTACCAATGGGCAGGTAATTTGGACCGAACAGCAGTGATAGGCACCAGGGCTGATAGGTTGCCCAGCCCTGGTGGAAGCCGAATCGGACGAGCCTTGTCGAACGGGAACTTCGGACGTCAGGCCCAGACAATCTACTACAGGCCCCAAGAGACTCTTGGCCCTAAGTTTCAGACAGGGTAGCACCCATTGAAGTAGTCTTAGCGTCCTTCCCCTACCTTACCCAGGGTCAAGCGGAACTTGGACTGGCCTGAGCGACTTATACCCCTACCCTTACCCCAGGGTCTAAGCCGTACATATAGCCACTAGACAGCTCTACCCGAATATCAGTAGGAGCTCCGGTGGCCCATACCTGTCCCTACCGCAGATACTAGACCCCACCCAGTGACTAGATCCCCCCAGTCTGATAGTTGTGTAGTTCGCAATGTATGTGTATACCCAAAGGCTGTGTTTGCTTCGTGCATCTATGTATGAAGATATACAAACAACACTATGTGTGGAACTCGTGTATGTAGCCCGAAGGCCATGTATAATTCGCAAGCTATGTATAGGCCCGAAGGTTGTGTGTGCTCTGTGAATCAATGTATTGAGATGTATAGGTAGCATCATGTGTGTATATCGAAGAGAGAACGGGGTAAGCTGGACAAGGACCCCCCCAAGATCCGAACCAAGCTCGAACCCGCGACCTTGAAACATGTAATCGTATGACTCTACCATGTGAACGGCTAGTGGAAATGGCACGAACGTGTCATATGCCAGACTGGGGAGATCAACGACAACTGTGGAGATCGAGGGCCTTGCTCCACTACTGACCAAACGTGCAAAATGAGCATGAATCTTATGGTAGAACATGGGTAGATACACTGCTAGTAGTTTAGAGCTTGAAATGGCCTTTTCCTGGCCGCATGAGGGGTGGTACAGCCCTCCGTAGCTTGCTATTCGTTTTTCAATTTGTTTTTTTTTTGTCTGCTGCGGTAGAAAAATCTGGGTTCAATCCAGCGTCCTAGCTCAATTGATTAGGCACGCAAGTGGCATTCAGGAGGTTGTGGGTTCAATCCCCAAGGCCTCCTGTGGCACTCTTGGTGCTATCCAACTGTCCAGTTGATGTGGCTCAGTGGTTAAGAGCACCGGTTGGAAATGCACATTGTGGTATGAGGTTGTGGGTTCAAGACTCAATTGCTACCTTGTGCATGGACACCGGCAGGGCGTTAGATTGACGGACACCCCACATAGTGCCACCTGGCCCACTTAGTATTAGCTCTGGTCACATGATATGACCCTGGCCACTGTTTGTCGGGGAGCAGCTGGCGCGCGTTAGCGCTAGCGCTATGGCTGGCGGGCCGCCACGGCATGCAGATGGTGGCATGCTGGTTGCTTGCAGGCGAGGTGCTGGCTGGTCAGAGGTGGCTGGCCGCCGGCTTCTCGCAGGTTGCGAGGCGCTGGCTTCTCGCGAGTGGCGAGGCGCTGGTTTTGTGAGTGCAGCGAGGCACTGGCTGTTGGCGGGGGTGAGGCGCTGGCAACAGGTGAGTGGTGGGGCGCTGGTGACTTGCGGCTGGCGAGGCGCTGGCTTGGGGTGACTAGTAAGATGCTAGTTGACACGTGGCGCGGTGCTGGCAGCCGATGGGAGGGGGGCGCTGGTGTGAGGGTGCTGAGATGTTGTGAATTAGATGGGGGACAGCGCTTGACGCAGGCGCGGTATCCAGAGGCGCTGGGTCATTACTACGTCACAAGCTGACGTGGCATCTGGCCTGAGGCACAAAGGAAAAGGGAGAATGGTAGCGGCAGCTGCTGTTTGAACATTTTCCCTGTGTTTTTCACATAAAGTACTCCATAGCCAAGACCTTTAAAGAGGCTGGAGAGCTCATGCGAGTTGATGAAAGTCGATGTCGGTGGAGGAAAGTGGAGTCAGCCCCGTGGAGACCGAAGTGCGGAGAACGTTGGTCCTACTTGAAGAATCATCACAGTGCCACTGGGAGAGTATCATCAAGAGAGCGGCTAGGAGGTCATCATCAACCTATATATGTGCTTTCGTTTTTTTTTGTCTTGTGCAGGCTATCCATCAAGAGCATCAAGATTTTCATCATTGTGATTTCAGCGGGGATTTTTCATCAAGGACACTGTCATTATCCTCATTTGGTTACCAGTGGTAATCATCGTCAGCTTCTCTAATTCGTCATCCATGTTATTTATCTTCTTCATGATCATCATCCGGACTTCTCTGTAAAAATCGTAATCATCCTCGTCGTCTATTTTCATTACAGCAATAGTGAGTTGTCAATCTTCCACACCGATGCCATTAGGGCATCGCAAGTCCGACGTTCCTTACTTATTTTCGCCAATTTTATTTCATCATCATCATCATCATCATCATCTACCAATCTTCATCTATATCATCATCATCATCATCATCATCATCATCAACCATCATCATCATCATCATCATCAACATCATCACGGTTTCTTTATTCATTTTTTCATCAACCAGTAGTTATCTCTGTGTTGGTGGTTATATTATCATCTCCCAGATAGACTATGGTCTAGTTGGTAGGTAGGTTGGTCAGGAAGGGAGCGCTACTCCGCAGGGGTAACACAACGTGGGAGGTGATTGCCCTCCAGGGAGTAGACGCAGACGATGGGAGTTGACCTGGGCTGGGGCTGGGAGATATGTATGGGGGCGCATTATCTCCTGCCGGAGGCAGACTAGGTCAGAGTGTTAGTTTTGAGGTACACCTTTTGGGGGAACTGGTTACCTCAAGGTAGAAGGGAATGGGGAGGTTCTCTCTCTCGCTGGGTTTGATAGGAACTTCAGGCTGATAGCGGAGTTGGGCTCAGCGGAGGCAGCGAGAGGAGAAAAGGAAATGAGGGGAGAGGAGGAGAATACATGGAAGAAGGGGAGGGTTGGAAAGAAATAATCATCAGCATCGTCGTCATTATCCATCATCTTTGTGATCTTCTCAGGGTACTCATCAAATTTCATCACCAGAAAGTTTTGCTGATCAGGATTCTGATATTATCAGATCCTTGATTTCTGGTTGGCATTCTAGATTAGCTAATTTCCTAATTGAGTCTTCTTGTGTAATGGCCAGGTTGAGTTGCCGCCAGAACAACGCTAGCCGGCGCTGGGGCAGTGCCCTGTAACCTGCTTGTGTAGGAGCTTGAGGCTTTGTATAGAGGTCTGGAATTGCCGAGGGAGGAAGGCAATCTGCAAACTTGACTAATGGCTACAATCTGGCCGACGATGGTTGGAGCTGGGGTGGTAGCGCTGCCCTGTAACCGAGCCAGATTGGGGTGTGAGACCAGGAGGAGGCCTGATTGGTGCACAGCACGGGATCAATTGTGATTGGTTGTTTGGAATGGATACAGGAAATTAGGGACAGGATAGTAATTCAGTGCTGAGTAGACAATCTTTCTGATTAGTCATCATCTAGCTCTATTTTATGACGTCAATCACCCACTCCGACATCCTAAATCATCCAAAATGATCCTCAATCATCCCAAATTTTCATCAATTGTCAATCATCAATGTATTCCCATTATAAGGGACTCTGGGCCCGGTTCCCAGCCCGTGATGCTCCCCACGAATAGATTGGAGCAAATTAAAAAAAAAAAA